TATCTCATTCTCTCTCAAATAAATAAATAAAATCTTTAAAAATATATATATAAAAAAAATAAATAAATAAATACTGTTTGAGGAACTAATCTTCAATTAAAACTCTAAAATAGGGTCGCCTGGGTGGCTCAGTTGTTAAGCGTCTGCCTCCGGCTCAGGTCATGATCCTGGGGTCCTGGGATCGAGTCCCGCATCGGGCTCCCTGCTCAATGAGGAGCCTGCTTCTCCCTCTCCCATTCCCCTTGCTTGTGTTCCTGCTCTCGCTGTCTCTCTCTCCGTCAAATAAATAAATAAAATCGTCTAAAAAAAATTAAAAAAAAAAACAACTCTAAAATATCTTAGAGTTAATAGACAATAAGGTTTTTATTTCAATGCATTTTTTTTCTTCTGATATACTTTTCACTAACAGGTTGGTGATGAGATTAATAATGACTAAGAGTGTTGAGGTAGCAAAAAATAGAGTGGCCAAAAGTGTGCATTCTGCAATTAGATGACTGGAATTTGAATCCTGACTCCACCACTATCTATCTTTGTTACCCTAAAATTCCTTCACCTCTCTGAACCTGTCTTCTTATCTGTAAACAGGACAATAACACTATCTACTTCAAAAGTTTGTTGTGAGGATTAAATGAGATAATTTTACAGCAGTCTTAATGCTGGTCAGAACTCTGGGCATATTAACATATTTCAGAGAAGCTTACCACAATTCACTTGATATCATCAGCTAAAAAGTACATTTTAAATTATGATCCAATCACTTATGAAAAAAAGTAACAACAAAAAACTGTTTCTTTATCTACATACCCAGTAAGTAAATCCACAGAAAAAGTTTTGGGAAAATTACATACCAAATTAATAACAACAGTTACTTCCGGAATAGGGGAAGAGGAAGAGAGGTATCTGTGTTCAGATCATATATATTCTCTTATTCTCTATATTCCTATTGCTTGAATTTTTGAGAATATATTCCTGCTATTTGTATAAGTAAAAAATAAAAAATAACAGCTTAAAAGTCCATATTGGAAATTCATTTGTTTGACCCACAGCTAGAACAAGTCAGTAGTTATAAATGCAGATAAAAACTATAAGCCTGCAAGTATTGACAAATCCTTAATTCAAATAAATAAGAAAACGTTTCTTATATCTTTAAATTCAAATCTAACCCAAATTGTATTTGACAAAGGATACATTACTAATCACCAAAAACTTCCATGTTTTCAAGTGCCTACTTAAACTTTTTAAACTTTTTCATTATATCTATCTGCTATTCTCTTTATTTTTTTTAAAAAAAGATTTTATTTATTCATTCATTTGAGAGAGAGAGAGAGAGAGAGTGAGCACACAGGAGGAGGAACAGAGGGGAGGGAGAGGGACAAGTGGACTCGACACCAAGCTCGGAGGCGGACTCGACACCAAGCTCGGAGCCCGATGCAGGGCTCCATCCGGGGCTTGATCTCACGACCTGGAGATCACGACCTGAGACAAACCTGAGCTGAAATCAAGAGCTGGAGGCTTAACCAACTGCGCTGCCCAGGTGCCCCACAGCTATTCTCTTTAAAGGATAAAAAATTGGGCGCCTGGGTGGCTCAGTTGGTTAAGCAACTGCCTTCGGCTCAGGTCATGATCCTGGAGTCCCGGGATCAAGTTCCACATCAGGCTCCCTGCTGAGCAGGGAGTCTGCTTCTCCTCTGACCCTCTTCCCTCTCGTGCTCTCTCTCTCAAATAAATAAATAAAATCTAAAAAAAAAAAAATTCTTTAAAAAAAAAAATAAAGGATAAAAAATTTACATGGGAGGCAAGTTTTTCCAAGGCTGTTTCATTCATTTGCATAAACACCCAAATCCGAATCAGTTGCCTGAATGCAAGCCTAAGAAAAAATATATTTATTGCTGGAAGTATTAGAGGTATGTTTAAAAAAATGCTAGTTGACTCAGAGAAATAATTAACTCAGGTTCTTGCAGTCTTTGGAAGCCTGTCATATGACAAGCATTTTACTTATGCACCTAGAAAATAACAGCTTAGATTATCTTTCAAGAGAGCAAAAGACAGATTTGCATTATAGTAATTGTTCAGTCCATAATAAGATAGCTTAGAATAAATGTCTAACAGTTGGCTTTCATTTCAAGGGGGAAAAAATCTAGATTTTGGTCCCAACTCCCATAGTTATTAACAGATGACCTTGTACAAATAACCTCTAAACATCCAACTCCTTTTGGATAAAAGGTATCCAGCCTGGAGGGGGCGGAGCAAGATGGCGGAGGAGTAGGAGACCTGGATTTCGTCTCCTCTCAGGAATTCAGCTGGATAGGGATCAAACCATTCTGAACACCTA